CATTATCTCCCAGTAAGTAGTTTGTCTTTTTATCCTCTTAACAGGGTCGTTTGAAGAGCGTAAGTCTTTAATTTCAATGAAGGAATCCTTGAGTTTTTACCATGTATTGTTATTAACAGACACCAAAATTAATGAATATTTAATTTCTCTGAAAATGGGCTCAGACTAATTCAATCACTATCATTGTCCCATTGTTGTTCTGCCCTTGCTCAAAACTTAACTGCACAAATAAGACATTACAGTCAAAAAACACTGTTTAATATGAAATGATGTCGTTATCTCACACAGTCCTTTGTTGGATCTGCCCCACATTTACCAGCTCCTTGGTTCACTTTCCTTGTCACAGACCTTCCTTTGAAGATTATTCTCCATCCTCGAGTCCATCCTTCAGAAGCTCCTTTAGTGAAAGTCTGTTGGCGGTACACTCTCAAGTTTTCACTTGTCTTTGCTCTCCAGAGATGGTTTTGTGGGCGGCGTGATTCCAGGCTGACAGTCCCTTCTCTCGGCCTTGGTGGGTATCACTCCACCGTCCCCAGCCTCCACGGTTGCTGCTGTGATTGAGCTGGGAGAGGGGCTCTGTCACTGTGCCCCTCCTCGCGAGCCTCCTTCCCGCTCTGGGGCCGCGGTTTCCAGGAGGCATGGAGCTGCCAGGTGTCAGGTGCCTCCCGTGTCTGTGGGATGGTGGGCGGTCGGGGTGGGGCCTCCTCACGCACTGCCTTTCCTCATTCAATTCTCTTCTCCTGGGACCCCGCCCCGACCTGTGCTGAATTGCTGGTATACCCTCCGCACCCCTTCACCCGTCGCCCTTTCCGTTTCCTTAGCTCTCCCTGGCACACTGTCACTTCCCCAGCTAAACCTCCCAGGTTGCTCCTCTCACATCATCCAGGACCAAATGTGTTGCCCGGTCCCCCGCCAAGTCCTTTGTTCTAAAAGTTATCACTGATCTTTTCCAGACTCATTGGGTCCCTTTTGATCATCTCTTATTATTACTCATCTTCGTGATTTCATCTAATTTTTAAAATATTTCTTAGAAACGATCTTATGTTAGGTATCTGATTAACTCCTTGGGGGTCTGCATGAGTCAGCAGTGGCTGCCCTAACAAGTAACACAGACTCGGTGGTTCAAACAACAGAAATTCACCCCGACCCCGTCCTGGAGGCCAAAAGTCAGATACCACGGGGTCTGCGGGTCTCCTCCTCCTCCTGAGGCCGATCTCCCTGGCGTGTGGACAGCCCTCCCCTCCCGTGTCCTCACGCGGCCGTCCCTCTGTGCCCATGTGTCCTGATCTCCTCTTCTCATAAGGACACGAGTCACGTTAAATCTGAGGTCACCCCAGAGACCTCACCTTACCTCAATCACTTCTGAAGGTCCCAACTCCAAACACAGTCACCTGCTCAGGTCCTGGGGTGAGGAATTCAACATCTGAACTTTAGGGGGACATAATTTAGCCTGCATCAGGCCTAAAGCTGTGGTCTTGTTATTTCTGCAACTGCTGGCCCTCCCTCCTCCTCTGCACCCCGTGGCTGCCCACTGCAGACTAAGTGACCTCTGCCTGTGGGCTCACGTGACTCTTCTTCTGAGGGTCCCCCAAAGGCCTACGGGGCTCTCCCCGAAAGGACCGTCTGCCAGGATCTCGGCTGCCTCCCGTCCAGCGCTTTTGCCTGGGGTGGCGAGGGGCTGGCGGTGCAGGGACAAGTCTGGTTACTTTGCTTCCCCCGCAAGCCAGCAAAGCATTTACAGTCCTGGTTTTTTCCACGTGAAGTTGTCTCCTAGCAGGGGAGCCGCATGGGCTGCTGAACCCGCAGTGTACCACGAGGGATCTGCCCAACTCCTTGCCTGCGGCTCCCCCAGGCCGGGGACCTGGCCCTACTCACTTGGGGTCACATGGATGGGCTCACGCACTTGGTAAAGCAGCGCGACGAAGGGACCGGGCATGAACTGGAAATCCTGAAACCGGGCTCCAAGAGGCCCCCAGCTCTCTCCATGACTCCGGCCATCACCCCTGCGCCCCCAAGGCCACCCGGCTTCAGATTTGCCATGGTGACCTGGGGTCTCTTCAGGATCTGAGGAAAGCTGTCCTGGCCACCCTCCAGCCTGTCTCACTGGAACACAGAGGTCTTGCAGTCAACCAGAGCAGGCCACAGAAACATGGCCTGCCGTGGTGGCTGACGCCTTCTAGACGCCCCGCATGAGAACCCTTCGGTCTTCACACCTATGGGCTGCTCTGTGCACGGGACGCTGCTGCCCTTCCCCCTCTCCTTAAAACCCCCGGGCACCTGTCACCCAGCCTCCACGGGGTCTCCTCCTCTCTCTGCCGCCCTGTCCCCGGGCTCCCACATGGGGTCCTCAGAGCCCCCCCTGGCCCCCGGGCCCCGCACAGGACAGCAACGCTGCCCGCTCTCACCACCCTCCCGGTGGCCCTCCTCTCCCCCATCTCCCTGTCCAGGCCCGCCATCTGCCTGGTCACCCGGCCCAGAGTCTGGGCAGAAGGCACAGAAGGTGCTGGAACCCCCTCGGGAGGGTCAGATGTCTCCCCCCTGCCTCACCTCACATGCTCCTCCCTCAAAGCTCTGCTTCTGACCAGCTCCTGTCTAAGCCAAGACCCAGCCTCCTCCTTAACTGATCTTCAGGCCACCCCGACCCCAGATCCTTGGTTCCCCTTCCCGCAGGAACACGCCTGCGCTCGAGGCCAGGCAGAGCCCCTGTCCCCCTGCCTGCCACCCAGGCTCCCTCGTGCACCCGCAGACCGATGGCCCGACAGGCAGGCACCCCATCCCAGTCGTGCCCTGCCTTTTCCTCAGCGGGCAGAGAGCACACTGGCCCTTGGAGGCAGTCAGACCTCTACTCAGCCTGGGCTGCTGGGTCCTCAGCACCCAGTGCAGGGCCCAGAGCAGGCGTCCAGTAGGGATTATGGGACCGGCCAGGGTCAGAGTTCAGCACGGGGCCAGGGTCAGAGTTCAGCATGGGGCCAGGGTCAGAGTTCAGCATGGGACCAGGGTCGGAGTTCAGCACGGGACCAGGGTCAGGGCTCAGCATGTGACCAGGATCAGGGCTCCGAGTGTGACCAGGGTCAGGGCTAGGTTGGGATCCGAGTAGGTGTTGACCAGGGTTAGTGGGTAACCTTGGAGAGCAGTGTTCATTGCCTATAGAGAGATGTGTGTCCACTGCAGTGGGCATCTTAGTGGACAAGCAGGGTCCGTGCCTTTCACCTGGAATGAAGCTCTAGGAAGATGCCAGACATGGCACTGAAATGCACTCTGGCTTTGTAGGGCTGAAGGAAAGGCCGCCATGGAGAACACATGGTGTCCTCCAGACCGCAGGGGAAGAGGAGGCTGGAAGGGCGCTGGCCACACTGCAGAGGGCTGGAGTTCGGGCTCTCTTTTGTGGACAAGAGCTGCTGACATGCTGCTGGCCCCACAGTAAACAGAGAAACCAGGAAAAGTCCCTCCCACCGTGTATGTTCCACCCTGGTCTCTGCTCCCCTCAGTGCCAGGCTGCCTGGGAGCCCTGGGACCAGCACGCTGTCCAGTTTACGCCAGGACCTCAGCCTCTTGCTTCCGGAAAAGGCTTTCATCACGAGTCTGGAGAAGGAGGCCAAGGGGAAGCTGGAGGTGGCACAGCCCCAGGGCCACGAGGACCCAAACAGCCACCCGAATTGTGCGCTGAGCCCCTGTGCCCTGCCTGGCGGGGCCAGGAGCTGGGGTCAGCCCCAAGGGACCCCACAGGGCCAGGAGTCACAGGTGAGGCGGATCTGACACCAGCGGGGGGATCAGGGCCGCCTGCCAGCCAAGGGCAGAAGCAGAGCCCAGGCGCAGACAGACGGGCTCCATCTCATTTCCTGTCAGCATCACCCTCGTTACCATCACTGCCTTTTTTTGTTGTTATTTTATGCTCATATGAGGAAAAATATCTTTTTCCAAGAAAAGTCGACAGGTATAAAATGGCATCCCACCCCGTCCAGTACCAACGAACATATGTGCACATACATATATATACCCCACACCGCAGGCATAAAATAGAGAGAAATAACCGCAGGCCCACGGGGTGTGGTTCCCTCGGGGCAGAATCAAGAGGATGCAGGGGCCCAGCCCCCCTCAGTCCATACGCCCGCAGAGCAGGCGGGCTTCCAGGAGTCACTCCAGGGCATACGCCGGGGGCTTTCTGGGTGCCCAGCAGAGCCACACTCCAGGACCCACACCCAAGGCAGTGGTTTGGGGGCGCTGCGCTCCGCGTGCTTCTTCCTGCAGCTCCGCTCACCCACTGCCCGCCGAGAGGCGCCCTGTTCTGCACTCCACAGCACTCGCCCCGACGGTCGGAGCACGGGATGGGAGCGGAGGGGGCTCAGTCCGCCTACCGGCGTCACCCCTGAGTAGACCTCAGCCCAGCCCTCCGTTCGCGTCACAGGCCCACGGACAATGGCAGGACGGAAGGGGCAACCACAGGCCAAGTCCTGCATCCTCTCTGGCTCCATCGAGGCCCCATCTCTGCCCCTCAGAGGGGCAGGACCGGAGTCCCTGCTCTGCACGCGGCCCACGGGGTCCAGACCCTAGATCTCCTCCTCCACCTTCAGGATCATCCCTGAGAAGACCTCCTGGCCTGTGTGGCTGCCCTGGGGGCTGCCCTGGGAGCCTCCAGCTGGCCTGCAGGCTGTTCCGCCCCCAGGGGAGCCATCTGGGACTGCGGGCGAGGCGCCCCGGGTCGGGAGGGCCTCCACCAGCCTCTCCAGGGTCCGGTTGAGGGCCTCGACGCCGTCGGCCAGCCGCTGGAGCAGCAGGTTCTGCTGGGCCATCAGGGCACTCTGCTGCTGGGACCAGGAGCTGAGCAGGGCGCCCTGCTGCCGTTGCGAGTCCAGCAGCCGCCGTTCCAAGTCCGAGGCCTCAGCCCCTGAGGGCTTCCCGGGGGGCTGGGGTGCCGCCGAGGAGGGCGGCGAGGGCCGGGAGGCCCCGGGGAATGTGGCCGCGGGGGGTGCCGAGGCCGGGGAGGCGGGCGGGGAGGGTGAGGAGGGGGACGCAGGGAAGGCTCCTCGGGGGTCCAGGGGGTCGGCTTCAGGCAGGCTCGGCCCATCCAGCGTCCGCAGGGGTAGCCACAGGCAGCCGGGGGCCTCGTCCTCGTCGGCTGGCAGAGGGAGACAGGAAACGTGAGCCTTCGCCAGCCAGGACCGGGGCAATGCCAGGGAGCACCACCTGCACGAGGCCCTCTGCCCACACAGCTATTTAGGTCTCGCGGGGCCCCTCTGCAGTGGGCAGCAGCGCCCTCACTAGGACACCAAGACTCAGAGGGCGAAAGACGTCCTCCAGTAACATCAAGGTAAAACTTCAACCTGGCAGCTCCAAAGCCAAGGTGCCACCACCATGCTGCCATCTGTCTGTCCATCCACCCACCCACCCAAGCTGGCCATTATCTACCCACCCTCCTGTCTGCCCATCTGTCTACCTACACATATCCACCCACTCATCCGTCCCCTCATCTATCTGCCCATCTGTTTGCTCATCAAGCATCCACCCGTCCCTCCATCTGTCCACCTCCTTCCTTCCTTTCATCTTTCTTCCTTACATCCATCCATCCATCCATTTGTTCATCTCTCAGCCATCCATCCTCAAAGCACCCATCCATCATCCATCCATCCATCCATCATCCATCCACCCACGCCTCTATCCATCCACCAACTTGTGTATACACCCTTCCAATCCTTCAGTCCCTCCATCCCTCTACCCATCCGTCTGTCCGTCCATCCATCCACCAAGCGGACATCCCATAAAGATGAACAGCTGTATATAAAAGCAGAGCTACCCCAGGGTCGCAGGAAAAGCCAAGACCTGGAATCCTACAAACTGGGCTCCAAAATCAGCTCTTCCTCTTGACAGCCGTGTGACCTTGGGAAAACCCTTCTCTCCTCTGGGTCTCAAATCCCTAGTCTGCAAATGAGAGGCCCAGCTGAAGGCTAACCTTCCAGTTGGCTGGGTGTGGAGGGTGAGTCAACCAAGGAAAAGCCCTGGGCCTGAGCCCCAGGTTGTGGTGTCCTGCCTTGCTGACACCTGCCGACACGCTGCGTGGCAGTGGGCAAGAGCACGAGGAATTACTGCGGGGGGGGGCGACTCTGGGCTGTCCCTCCTGGATCTGAGCCCCTCTCACCTCACCTATGGCACAGGGGGTCCTGCTTTGCGATGGCAAAGGGGCGATGACAGCACCACCGCAGAGGCCTGGGCGCACGCGCTCCCCGGCGCCAGGGGGGGTTCTGAGCCTGGTGTGTCCGCGGGCACAGTGGCCGCCCGTCCGCCTCCTGCTCTTCCTTTTCCTCCTCCTCCTCACTGTCACTTCCTCCTTCTGGGCTCCAGGCATCTGCGGTCCAGGCACTTGCTGACCCTTCTGAGCCCGGAGGCTCACGGGCGGAGCCACCCTGCCGGCGTGCTGCTTCCCTCCCGCGAGGAGGCTTCCTGGGGCTGAAGGCCCGCGGCAGGCACTGGCCCGCTCGGAGAGTTCCCGTTGGAGAGGCCGGGCCGTGGGCTTCCGACAAGTCCGCCTCGCTTGTCAATTGCAGTCCGCGCCTTCTATTCTGGGAGGCCCTGGAAGGACCCAGCCAGGTGGAGAGGTCCGGGTGCAGGTCTGGCTGCCCTCGGCATGCTGAAAGGTTGGGGCTCGTGGCTGGGGCAGAGAGCCCCAAGTTGGCACCAGCAGACACGACCTCCAGCCCTGCCTCCGCCCCGTCCTGCAGATACATGCCGTCGCCCCCGCTTGGCGCGGCGTTCTCCAGCTGTCATGTGTGGCCTACGCTTGTCGCCCTGACTTAGGCGTCTAGTGGCCACTGACAGAGAAAAGGGAGGCCGGCAGTGGGGCCAGCCTCCACCCCACGACGCACTCTCGTGGAGTCCAGCGGCCTCCCGTCCCGCGTGTGCTCTGCCCACTGGGCTCCCTGAGGGACGGGAAGCCTGGGAAGGGAGCGCAGCTGCTAGGAGGGGCCGCTCTTTCCCACGCTTCGCCCTGCCCACAGCCCTGCCTGGTCCAGACCGTCACCCTGTGCCCTCTCCTCCCCGCTAAGGCAACCGGAGTCCCTTGCCCAGCACAGCCCTGACTTCCCAAAGCCCCCAGGGAACAGGACGTCGTCCATCATCTCTCCCCAGCCCCCTCCCTGCTCCCGCCGGCACGGCCCCCACGCAGCTGTCCGCACCCCGGCCTGGGGTGTCCCGAGCTCGCCCGGGCAGCCCCTCCCTTGGCCTCTGTCCCCTCTGCCAGGACAACTCCTGCTCGGAGCTCCCCCAGGAAGCCCTCCCTGCCTCGGCTGGCCCAGGGCCCTCGCGTCACTGGACTGGACTGTCCACCCCGCCCTCGCCTAGGACGCATGCTCCAGGAGAGATGCGCTCTGTGGGCTCCACCCCTGCGAGTCGGGGCGCAGCACGGAGCGGAGGGCCAGCGAGTGATGGCGAGCAAGCGGAGGGCGGCTGCGGGCCCCCCCTCCCTGCTGGACCCAGGTCCGAGCCTGCCTGGCCCAGTCAGGGGCTCACGCGGTGGCTGCAGGTCAGCACGGCAGCCCGGCATTGGTCCCCAAGGCTGCCCTAAGCCCATCTCAAGCAAATCAGGGTCAGATATTTGTCCTCACTCCCTCTGAGCCGGCCAACTCGTCCCAAGCAGAGAGGGCCCCACCAGCTCCAGCCGGGGGCCAGGCCAGGGGCAGACACGGACACACCCGGCCCAGCGGCCGGAAGGCCAGGCGGCCCTCTCCACGGCCCGCGCCCTCCAGGAAGGCAGCAGACACCGACAGACCCATCCTGCCCTTCTGAGAATAAGGGAGAAGCCGCAGAGCTTCCTGCAGGGGCAGCTGGGGTGCCGCACACCCTGGGAACAGGGAGACACAGCCACGTCGGCACCCACTGCAGTGAGACCCAGCTGGTGAGCGCTGCTCCTGGCCGCCCCTCACCCCTGCCCTCGCACTTCACTGCTGAGCGGTGGGCAGAAGCCCCGGCCGTGCTCTCAGCGGCGCGGTTGGGGGAGGGGGTGGTGCAGACTAGGGGGAGGCGGGACCTCCCACCCTGGGCACGCGGCCCGCAACCCCCTTCCTCTCCCCTCCCCCATAGCAGCCCGCCTGGGCACAGAGAAGACCCTGCGGGCCTGCCCCGCCCAGGCGCGGGCAGGGGCCGGAGGGGCGGCAGGCTGTCCCCTCACACTGACTTACTTGGTGCCGGCTGGCTCCAGCCAGGAGCTCACTGGCGCCTGTGAGTGCGAGGACGCAGCCTCAGGCCGGCTTCAGTGCTATCTGCAAATGAAGACAACAGAGGCGATTACAGGGTGGGGACCCCGAGGCCACCCAGGGCCGTGGGACGGGGCGTGGACGGCATCTGCCCCCCGGTGAGCACTCCGAGGCACAAGCGGCGAGTCCAGCCTCCAGAGAACGGAGGCTGCAGTGATGGGGCACCGGTCAGCCCCCTGGCGTGGCCACTGGCCGGCCTGAGCTGTCCGGACAGAGAGCCTGGGAGTGCCTGTCCCTTGGAGCCGCGGCAGCCTGCTCAGGAAAGGGTGAGGCCCGGCTCTGCAATGACTCTGCACGCTCACAGAGTCGCCGTGAAGACAGCGAGACTGGGCCTGGGAACACCGTCCTCCGCACTCGGCCCTGGACATCAGCAAGTGCACTGACCGGCCGGTCCTGACAACAGTGAGGGGCTGAGTGGGGACCAGGACTTCAGGCAGGGGCCTGCTGGGTGCGTCCGCGCAACCCCCCAGAGGTGCCAGCCCCACAGCACACCTGAGCCGCCCTGACGAGGCCCAGGGGCCGCCCTCGCACACCGGGAGGCTCCCCTCAGCGACGCCCTTGGTAAAAAGGCGGCATCACATAAAACAGGTGGCAAATCCATCCATGCCCCGCTGTGGCTGCACAGCCCAGCTGGAGGGCACGCAGGGCAGGGGTGAGTTAGGACCGCGGGGCTTGACCCCAGCAGGAACCGGGTTTGCACCCAGCTGAGGACCAGGGCGATTCTCTATGCTGTTTTCTCTCCTCCCAAAGGGAAGGACCGCCCAGACGATCAGGGAGTGACTGCGGCCATGGGCACGGCCCTCAGCAGGGACCAGGCGCAAAGGTGCATCAGGTAAATTCTTGCAGGAAAACAGGACAAGCCTCCAAATTCATGCATTTTGGTGAGTACTCCAGAGGCAGAAACGGCTAAACGCACACATCTCCCTGGAGAGCTGCGCTCCTGGGCACCACCCAGGCCCAGGCAGGGACCGTTCCCATAAACGCAGGTGCCGCCCAGGCACCAAGTCCCCTGGGCCCCGGGTTGAGCAGGGGGCGTCTTCCCTGCCTGTGGTTCCCTCCCTGAAGTCTGAGTCCGGCCCCTCCACGGGGAGCCCCATCAGGAGAGTATGGGGGCACAGGCAGGGCCACAGGCCCCTGGGCTCACCCCCAGTCCCTGCGGGGGGTGCTCGGCGGGGGCTGCCCTGGAGGCCTCTGTTCTGGGGGTCTCCGGGGCACCCAGACTCTGGGTCAGGCCCCCCGGGACCAAAGAGAAGCCCCTCAGCACCACTCCCCCAAACACGGACAGAGCTACAGGCACGCCGGGTGCGGGGGGGGCCTGCACTCTGCCAACCAGCCGTCCTCAGCCTTGCAGCTGGACCCTGCCCAAGCCCCAGGCCAGAACTGACCCAGAGGCAGGAGCCGGTGCGGCTGGGCCTCGAGCCACCCCCAAACCAGGCGTGGCAGCCACTCCCCTGCTTGGTCTGAGCCCACCGGAGCGGGAGGGGGTGTCCTGCCCCTGCCCCTCTCTCTCACTCATTCAACAAACCTCTCTGAATCAGCACTGTGCCAGCCAATCCCAAGAGGAGCTCGCTGTCAGCGTACCGTCCCGACGGAGGAGAGCCCGGGAGCCACGGGGCCCGGGAGAGGGGCCGCCGGCCCACCAGAGCAGGCAGGGGCATCTGCGCCAGGCTGGGCCTCGTGACCCCGGAGCATGCCGAGCTTCACACCCGGGGGCCACCAGGAGAAACACAGCCACCAAGCTCCTGCCTCGATCCGGGGCTGGGAACTCGCGGGACGGGTCTCAACACCCAGGGCCACACCCGTGCCACCTGCTGCCAGCCCCCCTCGGCCCTTAGAGTGTGCCCACCCTGCAGCACCCCAAAACCAGGTCTGGCTCTGCCTGTAGGGGAGCAGGTGGCCTCCCGAACTAGGCCCCTCCCCATGGTCCAGCCCAGGGCACGGCCATGTCCTGGGTCTGCGTGCATCTCTGATCCGCTCAGCCCTGCTCGGTGCAGACCCCCACTAGAAGGTCTGCTGGGGCCTCTGCTGGGGGCGTCTGTGGCCCCTGCTCGTCCCCACGAGGCTGAATCCTGCCGCCCACTCTGCAGCCCTCAGGAGGGAGCTGGTCCTGCTTCTGCCATCGTCTCCAAAGTCCTTCCAGCAGCTCCCCAGGAAGGGGTGAGGCAAGGGTCCGGTGGAGCTCAGCCTGGAGCTGTGGGTGGAGCCATTACGTGCAGACAGAAGGCAGCCCGGCGAAGGGCGCCCCTGACGGACACTGAGAGGCGCCTCGAGGAGGAGGAGGAAAACGGGTGCGGGGAGGAGACGCTGAGGCGCCCCGGAGGGCCCGGCCCGCCCTCCGCACCAGGCTCAGAAACTTCTGCAAAGCTGGCCCCGGCGGTGGGCCCTGGGCTCCGAGGGGTCGCCAGGCCCTGGGAGGCTGCGAGCCCCAGACACTGCCCTGGCCTGTTCTGGGGGCTGAGTGACCCAGGGAGAAGGGACCCCACTCTGAGAGCCCAAGAGGGCGTCGGAGGTGAGCTCACCCGCCCTGCCTGCCCCACGCCCAAGACAGGGCACAGCAGGGGCAGGGAGGTGAGCTGAGCCGGGCCAGTGATGGAGGAAACGGTGCCGGCCTCCCACGAGCACCCGAGAGATTCACGGGGACCTCAGCTCTCCGAGGTCTCGGAGGCCCCGCAGAGGCCCTGTCATGTGGGGTGACCCCAGATGGACCTGGCTCTGAGCCTCAGCTCCTTCACGCCCAGGACTGGCCTGGAGCCTCGGTCTCCCCATCTAGACGCACAGGGGCCTCAGTTCTCCCCGCGGTTCTTGCTCGAAGCTCCGTGCAGGCTGTTGAGGGTCCACTTACTCGGCAGGGCCTCGGCGGGCTGGCCCTCGCCAGCGGGGCCGGGGGCCGCGAAGGTCTCAGCCACCATGCGCTCGACGGGCGTGAGGACAGGGCCGGGGGCCCGGGGGCGCTCGGCCAGCTTCCTGCGCACCACCCCTCGCAGGTCCCGCCACTTGTGCTTGACGTCGCCCAGGTCCCGGCGGCAGTAGCCCAGCGCGTTCACCGCCTGCAGGATGCGGCTCCACACGCGGTGCTTCCGGGCGGGTGGGCCCCGCAGAGCCCCGAACAGCAGCGGGTAGTGGCGCGTCACCCTCTGCACCAGCACCTCGGTCTCCTGCGGGCTGAAGTTGGGCTTCCGCGTCTTGGTGCGTGAGTGGGAGCCCGGCCGCAGGGGCGCACAGCCCGGCCCGGGCAGCGGGGCCACCACGGCCGGCTCGGGGCTGGAGCTGCGCCGGCACGCGGCCTTGCCGCTGCTGGACCCTGGAAAGGCACCGGAGGCTCAGGGCGGGCGGAGGCCAACGGGCGCCTGGCGGCAGATGGGACGGGCCGTGGAGAGCAGAGCCCCCGACCCTGGCTCGTAGCCCCGGGTCTCCACTGCCCCCCGTAGAGGGGACGGTGGCCCCAGACTGACAACCATCGTCGCGGGGACACCCATAACAGCACGCAGCGGGGGCCCGTCCGCGCCCAGGTGCCCATCCCCTCCGTCGGGCCCCAACCAGGCTCACAGCAGGTGAGTCCTCGCCACCTCCCCGCCTGGGACACAGCCCCTACCGATCAGTGATGGGGCTCAGTGACCATCCAGGTGACACCTGGGTGTCCATCTGGAGCGTAAAAGCCTCCTGCACACCCAGCACGAGACGGCCAACCAGAGTGAGGGTGAGGGAGGACGTGGAGACAGAGGGGGCCCTGGGGTGACGGGCGGCCCCGCCCAGAGCGGCCCAGGCCAGAGCAGGGTCCTGCAGGAGCCCAGACTCTGCAGCTGAGCGAGAGGCCTGAGGCAGCGCGGCCCGACCCTCTCTGTTCCTGGGGGTGCAGCACACCCTGAGGAGGGCAGCCGGGCCGCCCGCTGGGGAGCAGGGCATGCATGGGCCTCAGCACCTCCCCGGCGCCCAGGCCTGAGAGGCGGGAGGTTACTCAGAGCCAGGGGACCCCAGTGAGGCAATGACTCGGCAGGGGAATGGGGGTGGAGGGTGGGGGGCAGCCCTGGGCTGTGGCTGGGTGCTGACTGCTGGCCGAGTGGCTCTGGGCGCCCCGAGCCGCCTTGCTCTTCCAGGCCAGGGGCTGTGAGTACCCCCTCCCCGACCTCCCCGCTGCCCAGGGCACCCGGGCACTCAGGGCAGCAGCAGGAAAGTCTTAAGGCCACAGCAGGTGGCAGGCCGGGCTGGGTGGGGCGGACGCCCTCACGTGGGGGAGACTGGGAAACAGCAGGGACGTCAGCTCCCCGCTCACAGCCCTGTAACCCACCACGCACGTTTCCTGGGAAGTGGCTCCCGGCCACACACCCCCAGCAGTCTCCGCGGGGGGACCCGCTGCAGCCCATCCCCCGCTCAGGACAGTTTGTCCTCCCCCTGGGGAGTCCCTGGCTGGGGAGGAAGGCCCGGAGTGGGGGTGGCGGGGGCAGGCAGGCCAGGGCTCTTCCATGAGCAGAACGGGTGGGCCACCCTCTTGAGTGAAACTCCTCAGGCCCGGCCTTCCCGAGGGGCTGGGGGCGACCTGAGGAGGTGGGGAAGGAATGCGGCAGATGCCCACACCTCCAAACCTGCCCAGGCCTTGCTGTCTGCCCACGCCTGGGGGAACGGGCAGGTGGCTGGGTGGATGGCATGGGTACCCACCGATGGCCTCTCCTTGCTCTGACACCATGGAGGCCAAGTCTTTGATGATCTGGTTCACATCCAATAGGTCACTCTGTGGAAACAAGATGGCAGCCATTAGGTCAAGGGCACGGCCACCAAGAGTGCTAAATGAGAGCCAAGGACCAGAAACAAGCCCGGGGTCACCCCGCAAGTCAGAGACATTGCTGGGATCTGAAATACTGTCTCCTGACCCCGAGGCCAAACCCCATGCTGAGGACCCCAGGGCTGTGCGCTCCCATGCTGTGTAGAGAGGAGCCTGGAAGTTTGTAGTCTAGTCTAGTGCACGGCTGTGGCCCCAGCACTGTCCTGCAGGCCTGACTAAAGGGGCAAAGAGGCTGAGAGCAGAGGGCACAGTCTGCACCTCCCACAGGCCTGTCAGTCCTGCAGACACCTCACTCCTCATTCCCTCCCAGGGGGGCTCCTTGACAAAGGGTCCACTTTTCCTTCTCTGTACACTCGGCACCTAGCATGGGCCAGCACACGTGGGTGGGTGGTGGGTAGGCGGATGGATGGACAATGGATGGACGGTGGTGGGTGGGTGGATGGACGGTAGCCCCACTGCCGTCTAAAGAATGAGCAGCTTCGTGAAGCTAGTGAATGGGGTAAGAAGCAGAACTGAGGCCAGGAAACTGGGGTACCTCCCACCCTGCAGGTCATGCTGGCCTCTTGCGTCCTCCATGCCGCCCACCTCTATCCTAACTCCACTTTGCCCAGCAAAAGTACCAGTGGTGCTGGTGAGGGATGTGGCCGCACCACTCACAGACCACTCGCCTGGGGCTGTGCCAGGGGCACATCACACGTGGCCACCTGCACACCCGGCAGCGCCTGTGAAGGGAAGTCACAGCACCCACCTGACAATGGAGGCTGTGGGGCTCGGAAAGGTGTGTGACCTCCGGGGCCTCACAGAAAGGGGGAGGGCTGGGATTGGCACTGATGCCCGCTGACTTGAAGCCCTCTCCCTGCAGGAGACGGCTCCTCCACCGGCCAGCCAGGTGATCCTGTGCAAAGCCATTCACCTTGGAGCCAGGTTCCCCCACCTACCACTGGGCAAATCCAAACCTCCTCCTCCCTCAGTGCCCAGCGAGTGGCCAGGGTAGAGCCAGAGGGAAGGTTCTTCCACGCCCGTGAGACGGCGGGGGGGGGGGGGGGGGGGGTTCACAGCCCGCCCCTGCCCCTACCACCCTGCAGCTCATGCGGAGCCTGGACTGACTTCCACGAGGGTCATTT